CCCCCAAAACCCCAAAACCCCAAAACCCCATGACATCAAATCACTGTTGAATAGAATAAACTCTTTATTCCTTGAAATTTTCAAATCTATTCTGAGGTTTCTTCTCTGACCTATCCTTCTCTTTAGTCTGGGAATCCTGGTGATCATAACTAGGGTATCCTGGCCTCTGGTCAGGCCTTTGAGACCCGAAATTGGAATGCTGGTTTAAGCTAGGAGGTCTGACCGTGACTTCCTCGCCAGGTCCACGGCTAGGCATCTGGCCATACCCTCCTCTACCTGCATAACCATCACCTCTTCCGTAGTGTTGAGGAGGATAGTAGTTGGTAGGAACCCTGGGCTGATAATTCATCATAGGTGGAGCTGTAGGAGGAGGACCTGAATAGCTATTTCCATGTGGATTAAATGGATCGTAACTAGTAGGTCTATCATAACCCCCAGGCCTACCATAACCAGTGGGCCTATCTTGTCTGTTATAACCATCTTCATTTGTCTTTACCCTCTTATGCTGACTCTGAGATTGTCTTCCAAGTTGATAGGTAGGAACTTCAGCTTCTCTTTTGTAAGGTCTGCCTATATTTTGATCTCCATATCCTCCTCTAACTTGACTATTATTGTAGTATCCTGATGAAAAGTTTCTGTTGTATGTAGTCTTATAAGTCAGGGTCTTGTCTCTCTCAATGCCTAGTCTTTGCTCTACTACTCTGATTGAAGTCTCTCCAATGAAAGTCCTTCTGTCACCTCTCATCAAATCTGAAGGAGATACTTCTAAGGGAAGCTCAATAGTTCCATCCAAATATCTTCAAGGATGAGAGTCACAATGAGGCAAGATAAGCTTCAAGTTTATCACTTTGTTATTCGAAATGTCTGGAAGGCCAAGGCCAGTTCTTGGTTGAGGAATTTCTGCATCAACTTTATAAATATCAGGGAAGTGTCCTAATTCTGCACAAAGTTTAAAACCTTCTTCATTCTTCAGAGAATATTTGAAGTCTTCCTCTTCAGATTTCTCAAGGATCAATGTAAGATTTTGCATGTGCTCTGTGTTAAAAAGAAATTGTTCATCGCCTGTTGTATTTCTGAATTTATCAGATTCTGAGAATTCTCCTTCTATCTTTTTGACAGTGCTAAGGAGCCTCTGTTCTTTTACAAATGGTAGTAGGTTAACTCCCATCCATGCAAACTTGAACCCATTAGTGTCAAGAGGAAACTGTATTGGGTAGAAATCAATTATTTCTGAGGTCTCTTCAGAAAGTAAGGGTCTGCATACTTTTGGCAATGCATGATCACTCTGTTTTGGAAGAACAGACATCAGCTGCTCGACCGGTCTGTATGGCTCACCTTTAAAAAAATTATATTCTTCTTTGCTTCTATCCACCAAGTCTACTGCTAATGGAGCGTAATGGAAAGGGTAGAACCAATCCCAGCTTGGACATCCTGTGAAATAATATTTGTAGACCCAATTTATTCCTTCAAGGTATGCCTTGCTAATCTTACTAAGGAAATCATCCATGTCATCTTTTTCAAGTTGGAATTTATTGATATAGTAGTCTAACCTCCAATTGCCTCCAGAGAAATTATTGATGTGTTTAATAGCAAGGACTTCTTCTGCAAGTTTATTTTTAACCTCTTCTGGTTGTCCTCTTTTGTTCCGGTAGTCTCTTCTATTATTTGGCCTCTGGTTATTCTGAGAGCCCTGCTTGTCAAGATCTTCCTCTACTAGGGATAACTTCTTTAGTAAAATATTGACATTTTTCATATTCAGTCCTCAATCTTTAGTGAGATAGCCATCCAAAGTAGGCAGCAAACTTTTGTAAATAATTAGAATCAAGTCAATAGCTCCATTTCTAATTTTAAATGATGGTAAATGAGGCAGGAAATCGTTTCCAACAAAGAAGCAGAGGAATATGAAATCGTCTATCTTGTTATCAGTATCATTGTGGACATCATCAGTTGTCTCTAGTTCAAGTGCTAAATATTCTCTTAAAACATGGATCTTTACATATTGGAATAATACCGGGTTTTTGAGAGGGTTTGACTTCACTCTCTCAGAACTTTTATAGCTATCACATTTATCCAAGTCATGTCCTTGCATTCCTCAAAACACTCAGTTCCTTTTGTGTTCGGGGATGAACACCTCTCTAATGATATAAAACCTAGCTTCGTGAGTACTGAGGCCGAGCATGATCAGATCTGCATCCGCTCCATAAATTCAGTGGGCTTGGTTAGGGTCATAATCTGTAGAATTTCTTTGGCTTCTAATATAGTCCAAAATCTTATGCTCTCCTTCTCCAGGGACGCTGGAGTCAGAGTAAATTATCTTAAGGCCTTTCCATAAAGGATCTGATTGGAGTCTTTGAGCTACATAGAATTTGAGGCATTTAGAGAGTCTATCCATGAATTCAGTTCCTGGGGTGATCACATTCTTGTCAAACTTTGATCCTTTAGCCTGAGAAGTTTCCCCTGCTAACCTAAATGTTAAAATTAAGCTTACTTCTCTTGCTCTTCAAGTGCTCCTCTAAATCTTCTTGATCTCTGTTGGTTGATTTTAGCTCTAGGAGCTACTCCATCTATAGCGAAGTAGATCAGTTTCTTGGGTCTGATGATTCTGATGAGTCTGTCGAGATAATCAAACACATTCTTGAACATCTCTGTCTCATTGAGAGGTTGTCTTCCAGCTTGGGGGTGTGTACAGGGATGAATAATACAATTCATATCAAAATAAACATTATCAATATGTGGATTAACATATTCGGCACTATCCACTCCTGCAAGGCAAATTTCATTTGCATCTTGTTGCATTGCTTCTTCCTTTCCTTGCTCATCATAGGCATCAAGGACAATTTTCGGATAACGTAGAGTCAACCATCTAAAAAATGCTGGAACACCCATTTTTATTAATAACTGGATTAGATAAAGATATATTCAAATTGAATAGGTTTAGTGGGGTTTTGGGGTTTTGGGGTTTTGGGGTTTTGGGGTTTTGGGGTTTTGGGGTTTTGGGG